TTCCAAATGGGCTCATTCTTTGACCTTACAGTCACCCATCGAGGGGCGTGTTTTGCAGATAGGCTCACTTACATGGGAAATGCCAGGTGTACTGGATCCTTCACCACAGAGTTGTTTGAAGGAGCAGGTTGCTAGGGATGGCCTGGGGGCTATGGAGTGAGTGATCACCGCTGAACTCAGTTCAGTCATGGAATAGTCACACTGTGGATAGCAGGCAGACCAAGAGCAAGCTAGATGTAGGAGCAGTGGAAAGACCCTGATATATACTGTTCAGTGAGAACTAAGCAGTTAAACACAGACGACTCGTGGCTACTATTAATCACGTTTAAAAGCCAGTCAGGAGCACAGATCTACAAATGTGCTTCTGTCACTATAAAGACGCTGATTACTGGGGGGTGGGGTGGGTGGAGTAATTGGCAGATAGAGATCAATAAAGTAGGAGAGATGTTTTAGCTTTTTTTTTTTTTTTTTTGAGACAGGTTCTCTCTAGGTAGCCCTAGCTGTCCTGGAACTCTCTATGTAGACCAGGCTGTTCTTGAAGAGGAGAGACTTTTTTTTTTTTTTTTTTTTTTTTTTTTGGTTTTTCGAGACAGGGTTTCTCTGTGGCTTTGGAGGCTGTCCTGGAACTCGCTTGGTAGTCCAGGCTGGTCTCGAACTTACAGAGATCCACCTGCCTCTGCCTCCCGAGTGCTGGGATTAAAGGCGTGCGCCACCAACGCCCGGTTGAGGAGAGATTTTTAATACTTAAAAATGTACGACATTTATTTTGTGAGCATGTGCATGTATTCATGCCTATGTGTGTACGTGTGTGTGCAGATATTCTATATAGCACACATGTGGATATCAGAGGACAGTCCTTTTCCTTTTCTTTCTTTTTTTTTTTTTTGAGACAAGGTTTCTCTGTGGAACAGTCCTGGAACTCTCTTAGTAGATCAAGTTGGCCTTGAACTTATAGTGATCCGCCTGTCTCTGCCTCCTGAGTGCTGGGATTAAAGGCGTGCGCCACCAACGCCCAGCCAGAGGACAATTTTTGAGGATCAGTTCTTTCTATTGTGTAGATTGTGGGAATTGAACTCAGATTGTCAGACTTAACAGCAAGCATCTTTACCTGCTGAGCTTTCCCGACACACACACACAATTTTCTTTTATATGTGTCATGTTTTCTGTGCACCACTTGCGTATAGTGCCATGGCAGCTAGAAGAGAGCCTAAGATCCCCAGAACTGTAGTTATAAATGGTTGCCAGCTGTCATGTCGGTGCTGGGAATTGAACTCAGGTCCTTTGGGAAAGCAGCCAGTGCTTAACTGTAGAGCTGCCTCTCCAGTTTCCCCACCCCCCTTTCTTTGAGTAAAGGTCTCAGTATGTAGCCTAGATTGACCTCCCATTTGCAATTCTCCTGCCTCTGCATCCTGAGTGCTGGGATTATAGTTATGTGCCTTCACATGATGGCTTTATTTTTTTAAAATCGTGAATGTTTTCTATGAAATGTGAAATTAATTAAATTTAGAAAATATACTCCATGGGGAGCTGAAGAGATGGCTTAGCGGGTAAGAGTGTTTGCTCTACAAGCATGAGGACCTGAGCATCCTCAGTACTCACATAAGGAACCGTGTGCGTAAGCCAGCATTAATGGACAGAGATAGACAGATCCATAGAGCTCACTGGCCACTCAGAAAAGCTGACGCTTTCCATATACAGTGAGAGTCCCCGTCTCAAGATGATAAGGAGGAGAACAATAGAGTGTGCACACACTCATACACACTCACACATACATACACACTCACATACACATTCTTACACACTCACATTCATACAACACTCACACACTCATGCATACACAACACACACATTCCTGCATAAACAACATTCATAGATGCACGCTCATTCTCTCTCTCCCTCTCTCTCCCTCCATGGGGAGGCTGAGGTGTTCACTGCTTGCCTAGCTTGTAGAAGGCCCTAGCTTTGATCCTCAGCAGTGCAAAGCAAAAGAGTTAAGTTGACTGATTAAATTAAATCCCCTAAAGAGAGGCTGAGAATGAGCTTGGTAGAGGGCATGTTGAAGGTGCTGGTTCAGTGCCCAACACCGAAAAATGGAGTCAACTAGAGGGTTCCCCTGGTGTCCTAGCTTTCCTTTACTATGGCAGAATATCTGAGAAAGTCACCTTGAAGGAAGAAAAGTTGATTTGGGCTCAGAGTCTCAGAGGTTTTGTTCCTGGTCACTAGCTCCATTGTATCTGGGACAGAGGTGAGGCTGGGAAGCATGGCAGGAAACAAAACCGCTCTTCACGGAGGCAGGCACATACATTGCTTATGTCCACAGGAGGTGTGGTGGGGAGGGGCTTGGGGCAAGCACAAATATACCCCCCAAAGGCATACCTTGAGACGTATTTCCCCCGGCCAAAGCCCACATCCTAAAGTTTCTATTGCCTGCAAGAATTCATTAAGCTATGAATTCATCACTGGCTGGAGAGATGGCTCAGTGGTTAAGAGCACTCGCTGCTCTTCCAGAGGACCTGAGTCCAATTCCCAACACCCACCTGGAAGCTCACAACTGTCTGTAACTCCAGTTCCAGGGGCTCTGATGCCAATCCACATAAAATAATGTTAAAAAAAAGAAATAAAATAGTTCTATGGGGAAACTTAACTCAGCAAGGACAATTGCAACCCTAAGGATAAAAGTCTGCCATTCATCCAATGCATTCATTCATTCATTAATACATTCATTCATTTCATTCACCAACTTCTAGCAATCAACCAACTTCACTATAGCAATGCTGTTAAACGTGCACGCTCTGCACCAAGGCTGAACTGGGTTCTGTGCTCAGGGCTTTCAATGCGTTATCTCAGACACCACTCCTGTGATGGAGGGTCTAACAGCTCAGCACAGGAAGCTGGCTGTGAGAGAGGCTCTTCAACCCCTCCCCCTCTATAAACCTCCAGGCCCTCCGCATGTATGAAGCCCTGTAGTGGACACCCAGATACGACATGCCATTGCCTCTACCCACTAAGGGGGACTGATGTGTGAAGTATTCTCCGAGATGGGTTTGAGCAGAAAAAGGCACACTAGAGCCTAGGCCCTGAGGGTTAGGGACAAAGGGGACAAAGAAGCTTCAACAATAAGATGGACTTCTCCTGTGACACTCCCGGCTAAAGACAGGCTCCAGGAGCAGCAGTGGACCTCAGAGGCGCCTATGTGGGAGACAACCTCTGTGGCCTCAGAAGCAACAATGAACAAAGGCTGCGGCCTCTCTGGGAATAGCCGAGATCTGACAACAGCCCGGTGCGGTTCATCAGTGGAGACATCCTTTCTGTGCTTTGAAGCCTGAAGTACTCTCCTTTGGCTGTCTACACAGATCAAATAAGCTGGACAGCTGCCATATCTAGACTTTACTTTGTGCTAATCCATAGTTACAGCCAGCCCCATAACAGTCCGACCAAACCATCTGAGCAGAAGCAAAAATAATTCTCATAGGCGAAGACAGGCAGCTCTGAGACAGAAACATTAACCCCTTGCTGCCTCTTGGAGAGGGCGGGGATCTTGCTAGTCTTAGAAGAGAAGGAGGTTGTGGCCCTTTACACAGTGGAGAAGCAAAGCTGTTAGCTACCCTTTCCAATCCTGGACACCATCTATGAACACTGGTGAGAACTGGCTTTCAGAGAAGCAACCCCATCCCATCCTAAAGCACGGGATCTTCCCACTGCATAGGCAAACACCTTTCTATTCCCAGGGTAATTCCAGGAGGAGACTTGATCCCAACCCCCCCTGTCCTCCTAAGCAGCAGTGAGAATCTCAAGAAATTCTTGTCACAGATGCCAACACAAGCAGGCATCCAACAACAAATCCAGAAGCCAAGAGGCATTGCTAAAAAACCGATGAAAAATCTACATGAGTTCTAATGTCGACTTCATGTCTAGCTGTGGTTTCCATGGAAATAGACATCTGCTCTAGGGAGAAAGGTGTGTGTGGGGGGGGTGGGGTGGGATGGTATAAGAGATTTAAAATAATCAGTGTTTTGAAGGATTAATTTTTCCCTGTCACAACATTAATAGAAATATGAGATTTTTGTGTGGCAATGTCTTGTATTTGGAAAAAACCCTGCATCACACGGGTGGGACCTGCCACTCATCTCCAGATCCAGTACAAGGACTTGGACACAAAGTGCTGGTTCAGAAGCTCCCAGGCCTCTTGGCGTTGAAGGTCTTTGCTCATTTGTGTTACCTTTGCTTGTCAGTCTTCCAAAAGGACTTAGTCTCACTGCTGCCCAGGGTTTAAATGGTTCTGAGATCCATTCAGAAAACCAAGCACCTGGCCAATCTGAGGCTATGTCTGTGAAAGAGAAAAGCCTTTCAATGTGCAGAACCAGCCCCTGCCGCTCACAGGCTAAGCAAGAACCACTTAGGCTGGCTGGGGCGGGGGCAGAGGGAGACTGACCCCACACAGGAGCAATTGTTGGAAAATATGCCTCTACAAGCATATTTCAGGAGACAGTGCTTTGCCAATGTTTGCTTTGTGCGTTTTCTGCTGTCGGTACAACACAGTTTTCATTGTCCTGTGCACCTATTGTATTTTATCTCGGGTACTTCCCTATTGGTTAGCCAGATGTAGGATTCTTTTAAAATTAGGACTGCGGTTCCACAGAGGCCTTTGTATGTGTGGTTTGGTTTTGGGGACACCAAATCCATTAACAAAATAGTGTCCCTTCTGTATAGGGTTTCTGAGCAGGTGCTTTGGGGAAATGACCACCCCACGGGGACACAGCTTTGGTCAGAGAAGTGGGGTCTAAGAGAGACAGGGTCGGGCTAATTTCCTTTGTGTCTCTGCTATAGTTGCGTTTTAGCCGGGCCAGAGGGAGCCTTGACCTTGTGGCTCCTTTTGTTTACATTCTCAAAGAGAGCCCAGCCCCGTTTGGGGAGCACGTGCTTTCAGAACAAAAGCAGCACTTCACTGCCGTCGCTCTTCCCTTTCCTGTCACCGCTGGGCTTTGGCAGGGGAGATGGAGTCTCCCTTTCAAGCTTAGTGGCTTTGTTAGACCCAAGATCAGATTCCAGAGCCTCACGCAGTCCTGCATAGATACCCCAGTGTTTCCAGTTCGGGAAGCTGAGGACGGAGAGAATGCAAAAAGCCGAGGGAAGGACCACGCCCGTGACCTGTCAGCACGAAATGGGTTAGCGACCGCGATGCTGCACCACAGGTGACAGGCTGGCGTGTGTCCGTGGTAGGACGCCGAGGGTAGAAGACCGTGTAGGGGCGTGGAGTGTCATTGTCTTGTCACAGGGGCTCGGGCGACTTGGGCGAGCGGGCGGGGTGTGGCATCAAAAAGAACGCTGCCTAGGAAGAGAACCAGATTCGTGCGGCTCGGCCGAGGAAGAGTCCTGTCGATCAAGGTCTAAAAGTAGGTTAGAACCGACCCCTCCCTAGCTCCTTGCCTCGCCGCGCCCTGTCCTTTTCCTAGAGATGTAGCTCCGCAGCCGATTTAGTCCTACGGCCACAGCCAAGTGTTCTGCGCAGAGAACCGGGGTCCACACCTGGGGACCCTCCCCCCGGTCATCCCACCCCTTGCATTGTCCTCCTGCCCCACTGGCGCGTACTACACCTCCCAAGATGCTCCGCTCCAGAGGGGCGGGGCACTCCAGACTTGGGGGTGGGACCGGCACGTGCCGTCGCACTCAGCCAATGCGAAGCCCCGCGGCTAGGTCACGTGCTGCTGTTTGGCGCTTTTGTGCGCGCCCAGGTCTGTTGGTGCTCAGAGTGTGGCCAGGCGGCTGGGAGCGAGCAGGTGGGTGCTGGCTTGTCTCAGGCTGCGGAGATGGCGGGGTAGGGACCTGCCTGGAAGGCGGCGGGTCGCCAGCGGGGGAACACTGGAGGGGCGGGGCCCGAGACCTGGAGGGCAGGGGGCGTCCGTCTTTTGTGTGAGGCTCGGGCGGAGCCTTGGCTTTTGTCCCTGCTCCCTGGGGACGCGGCTTGGTGGGGAGGGGGCGCGGCCAGCTGTGGGCTTCAGTCCTGGATGCGAGCGTGGAGACAATAGGGGCGTGGGCCGTCCCCCTGCTTCCATCGTCCGGTGGGCGCGGCTCCATTGTCTGATGGAGAGCAAGGCTGCGGGCGCCCGCCTGGGCTCCCGGGGCTCCGTGGTGGAGGTCGCAGGCGGCTCTGGGGACTCGAGCTGGGGGTGGAGGCGGTGCAGCCGAGCCCGCTGCAGCCACCCCAGGGCTGCGTAGCCGCGAGGTATTTTTGGCGGGAGTTGGGGGGGGGGAAGACGGCCGCGCGCTGCCAGCCCGAGAGGGGCGGGGCACCCCTGAGGACCGTTAGCCCCGCCCATCCTGTCGCTGCCCACGCGCGCGGGCTCCCGAGTGTGGAGAGGTTCGCGGAGATTCGAAAAGGCGCGGGGAGTCGAGGGGCGGGGCCAGAGGCCGGAGCGTAGGGCGGGTTCTGATTGGCCCGGGCCGCAGCCTGCCCGCCCGGGCCAGGACCACGCCCATGCTGGGTAGGTTGCTGCGTTGGGTGCTTTGCTACAGCTAAATGGTTTTTCGCTGCCTCGCACTTCAATGTGTAGCGTTTGGAGCCTTTAATCATACGATTCGGGCCTAAAAGAGTGGTGATCTTTTTAAAAAAATAATCGACAAGTTAAAAAAAATTTGCGACATAAGGCAGCAAATGTGACAAACATAAAGCGGGTGTGGTGGCGCATGTCTTTAATCCCAATACCCACAATAATGCAACCCCGCCCCTCGGTTTCATCGAATCCAGGGCTTTGCAAATGTTAGGCAACTGCTAACCCACTGGGATAAACCCCACCTCTCTACACGAGGAGGCCCAGGCAAGACGATTGCGATTTCAATGCCCCCTTGGGCAAAATAGCTACACCCCCCCAAAAGAAGCCTAGAGGTTAATAAAACTTCATTTTCCCACTGTTAGACGAGTAGCTTACCCCTTAGGAACAATAGGACTTGAATACCATTGGCTACTAGCTTGGGTGTTATCCACCATGGCAGACAGACAAAGCAGGGGTGGGTATTTCAGTGGCACAATGAGTTGTACACAGAATTAAGATGGCTCCGATTTCATTGTTGCGTTGAATCTGGAATACCTTATGTTGGGTAGAAAAAAAATTGAGGTTTATGGGAAGGAATCCTTCAACCTTGTGAATGAACCTCTGATTTTTTTTAAGATTCCAAGGTTTTTTTTTTTTCTTTTAAGAACATCATTTGATTTTCTGCCGCCAGTATTATTCAGTTTAAATTTCCCAATGTGTTTAGGTGTTTCTAGATGATTTTTTAATGATGTCACTGATTCCTCCTAATGATTTTCCTGGCATTGTCATTGGTTTGGTTTGAGGTTCCTTTGTGTTGATGACATAGAGAAATTGATTGCACCCTTTGAAAATCATTTTCAGGGCTCTCTTTACCCGTGGATTGTGGAGGGTGCACAGTCAGTCTCTTGTCTTCTGTTCGACATGGCATCTTCTGGTAGGTAATTGATTTAGAAATGCTGAAACTGGGATGGGCTTGCTGCTTTAGAATAGGAAGTAGTACAGGTCTTAAGCTTTTAATTTGACATTTGTGTTCTTTTCAAAACTGAATTTACAAATAAAAAGACAATTAAAATTTTATCATTTGGTTGACTATATGGAAAGCTCACCATCATTTATAATTAGATAATTTGGCTTGGACTTAACCAAAATTGTGAGTTTTTTTTTTTTCAAAACAAGCCATTCTTCGTTTAATAAAATGTTTGTCAGATACTAATTTCTCCTTAAAATGGTATTTGTTAGCCCAAAATGTTGAGCTTTTTTTTTTAAAAAAATGTTACTTGGTTTCTTACCTACAGACACTTTCATTAGTCTTAATTCTGTTCATTGAATTGTTGGTTTTTAGAACATTATAGAACCCTTAGAACCCTTTATTTGAATAAGCAAACTGGGTTTTCCTCATTTATCATTAATCTGATCAACTCCAGACATTCAGGTGAAGGAGCTGGAGAAGCGTGCTTCAGGCCAGGCTTTTGAACTGATTCTCAGCCCTCGGTCAAAAGAATCCGTCCCCGATTTTCCCCTTTCCCCCCCAAAGAAGAAGGACCTCTCCCTGGAGGAAATCCAGAAGAAATTAGAAGCTGCAGAAGAAAGACGCAAGGTAAACCAGACGATTACAGGAGATAGGATACTTAATAGTGTCAGGAGGCAAACCTGATTTTATATTCATGGAAAGGAAGAAAGAGTTGTAGCTATACTGTGATTATAAGTAGGAAATACCTTGTGTCACTGGTTGGAAGAAAGCAGCAGCCATCATTTAATGAGCTCCTATGAGGATCCAGTTCCTTGACTCAAGAGCTTTCTCTAATAAATGGAACCTCCATGGTGGGGATTATCTCAGGTAACAGACTAGAAAATGGTATTATTGGGGCATTTTCCTGAAGCCCTGTTACTAGGAGCTGGAGGCAGGATTCAAGCTAAGGCCTGTGTTGCATGAAAACTCATGTTTTCTCTTTGAAAAGTAGGACATTTATTTGTTGGCAGGTAATTCTTTGTTTCCTTAATTTCTCTTTTTGAGAGCTATGCAATAAAAACTTTAAAATTTCAGGGATGTGATATTGTAACTTTTTCTCACTTCTGAACACCTCCTTTATAAAGTAGCCATCTTTGAAAGCTGTTGTTGGCTGGAGGGGTGGCTCAGCAGTTAGGGGCATTGGCTATCCTTCCAGAGAAGACATATCGTTCCCAGCACCCACAGGGTGCTCACAACCATTCATAGCTCCATTTCCAGGGGATCCAACTGCCTTCTACTGACCTTCATGGCTACCATACGTACAAGTAGTGCGCAGATAAATGTGCAAGCCAAACAACCATGCACATAAAGTAAATAAATAAGACCTAATGAGAGGCTGGAGAGATGGCCCAGCAATGAAGGGTCCTCGCTGTTCTGGTTGAGGGCCAGAAGGTAGTTACTAACACCCATGTTGGGCCACTCACAACTGCCTGCAACTAGTTCTAAGGCGTCTGATGCCCTCTTCTGGCCTCAGAAGGCCTGAGATGCATATGTGTTTACATAAAATAAGTAGAATGAGAAGATTTAACAGACACTAATAAAATTATAGAAGAATTGAGAAATTATAACGAATTAAATATAATTTCACTTATAGAAGTATCCCTGTTAACATTTAATTTTTGGGGTTTTTTTTTTAGACAGGGTTTCTCTGTGTAGCTTTTGGAGCCTGTTCTGGCACTCGCTCTGTAGACCAGGCTGGCTTTGAACTCACAGAGATCTATCTGCCTCTGCCCCCCAAAAAGGCATGCATGACCAACGCCTGACCATTCAACAATTTTTTTTTAAATTTTTTATTTTTTGGTTTTTCGAGACAGGGTTTCTCTGCATTGTTTTGGAGCCTGTCCTGGAATTCGCTTGGTCTCAAACCCTCAGAGATCCACCTGCCTCTGCCTCCCGAGTGCTGGGATTAAAGGTGTGCGCCACCACCACCCGGCTCAGCAATATTTTAAAGATTTATTTATTTATTAAGCATACAGTGTTCTGTCTGCATATATTCTGCATGCCAGAAGAGGGCACCAGATCTCATTATAGAATGGTTGGAACTCAGGGCCTTTGGAAGAGCAGCCAGTGCTCTTAACCTCTGAGCCATCTCTCCAGCCCTCAGCAGTATTCTTAGTAAAAACTGGGGCTGCACCAGTGGTTAAAACCCTGCTGCTCTTGCAGAGGGCCCCGGTTTCACTGCCAGCACAGTTTCAGGGCAGCACACAGCATTCTAACGCAAGTTCCAGGCTTCAGGCACCAGGCGTGTGTGCAGTAGAGTATACTTATATGTAAGCAAAGCCCTTAAATATGCTTTTACAAAAGAGTTTTGCATAAATTTTCATTAAAATCTCTTTCCCTTAGCCATGATTTAGGTGGGTGGATTTAGTTTGGGCAAACTAAGGCATGAAAAGGTTAAAGTAATAACTGATCCCATATGAGCACCACTGGGATAATTTGTGGTCTAACATTACATGTACATTTAACTGCCATAGCACTTGTACTTTTCAGTTCCTATACCCTATTGTCAGCACTTACCATCTCAGGGAGAATGGGGCTGTTAGCTGGGTATATCTACAATCCTGGTACTCGGAAAGTGGGGGCAGGACGACCAGAAGTTAAAGATCATCCTTAGCTACAGATCCAGTTGGAGGCCAACCTGGCCACAGGGTGTTGATAGAGTGGTTTGCATGGCATGTATTAATTCCCAAGTTTCAGTCCCTGGCACCTTATAATCTTGTCACTTGGGAGGCAGAGGTGGATCAGAATTTGAAGATTGTTTATGAGTTCGAGGCCAGGCTAGAGTAACTAAAAAGAATGACAGCATTTACCCCAGTGTGCCATCTTCCTGCTGCTTCATGTCGTTGGGAGTTCGTGGAGTAGGAGGCAGCAATGCAATCAGAGAGTAGACAGGAAAAGTAGGCCTTGTGTTCAATAGCCTGCAGTAACGCAGTGGTGCGCGTCCCATCTGGACAAAGGTTCTATGGAAGAGGGCTGGTAGAACCGGAGGCAAATGTCCTGCACTGAGACCATGCAAGTTGGTTCTTCCGAATATATCCGAATCTGTTTGTTGGCTACTGCTAAACGTTTGACAGGTTCTCTCTGGCCGTGGCTGTCCTGGGACTCACTTTAGACCAGGCTGGTCTCAAATTCAGAGATCTACGTGGCTCTTGTCTCCGAGTGCTGCGATCAAAGGCATGTGCCGTCGTGCCCAGCTGACAATGCCCTTTTCATAACCTTTGGGATGAAATAGCAGAAATTCTTTACAGTGCCATTCTTAAGTAGATTATTCAAGTCATCTAAATACTTTTGAGTCCTAAATAATTTGGAAGGAAAACTAGACAGGCTAGAGTTGGTGTGGTGTGTGGCTATAATTCCAACACTGAGAAGTAAATGCAGGAGGAACATAGATTCTAGGTAAGCCTTTGCTACATATAGACTTCCAGGCTAGCCTGGGCTACATGAGATCTCGGCTCAAAAAAAACCCTAAATGAACAATTTTCCAAAGTAAATACAAACATTGTTTGGAAAACAAAGGTGATTTTCAGTGTTTCATAAAAGATACTTGAGCTCCTCGCTTGGGTACTAGTTTGAAAGGACCCTTTTTTCTGCCTGTTTTCCCTGGTGAATCATTTCTTTTGCAGTCTCATGAGGCAGAAGTCCTGAAGCAGCTGGCTGAGAAGCGGGAGCACGAGAAGGAAGTGCTTCAGAAAGCCATCGAGGAGAACAACAACTTCAGCAAGATGGCAGAGGAGAAGCTGACCCACAAGATGGAAGCTAACAAAGAGAACCGGGAGGCGCAGATGGCTGCCAAGCTGGAGCGCTTGCGAGAGAAGGTTGGTTTCTACTTTATAGAGGAGTTGGGAGCTTGAACTGTCTTCATAAAATAAACTGTCATCAGTTTGGGGCTTATCATTTGTTAAGAAGGAATTTCATCTTAGGGAATGTTCTAGAATTCTCAGCTTAATTGCATATTCCTTGGAAGGGCAGTTGGAGACTTAGCTGTTATCATCCCCAGGAGAACAAAAGGTTTGAAGATGATGATGTCTTGGGAGTTTTGGTTTGTGGTTCTCATGGGCTGTTGTGTGACTTGGGCTGTATGGGCAGCAGGCAGGGCTTGACAAATTATTTCTTGGCAGATGACACTTACACGCAGTTTCTTCTTAGGACAAGCACGTTGAAGAGGTGCGGAAGAACAAAGAATCCAAAGATCCTGCGGATGAAACCGAGGCTGACTAATTTGTTCTGAGAACTGACTTTCTCCCCGACCCCTTCCTAAATATCCAAAGACTGTACTGGCCAGTGTCATTTTACTTTTTCCCTCCTGACAAATATTCTAGAAGCCGATGTAGGACCGTATAGGTAGATCCAGACCGTGAGATGTTTTAGGGGTTCGAGGGGAGAAACTGAAAGTGTTTTACTCTTTTTAAAGTGTTGGTCTTTCTAACGTAGCTATTTTTCTCGTTGCATCTACTCCACTTGAGCACACCCGGTGTGCTGGGTTAATGGCTAGTACTGTACTGACTCTGTGGAAGACGTTTGTGAAGAGTATGTAGTGGCTTCTTCCAACCTGTTAGATGCTGAATATCTGTTCACTTTGCGATCCCAATTCTGTCCCAATCTTATCAGATGCTACTGTACTTGAATGGTTAATAAACTGCACAGTGCTGTTGTGGCAGTGATTCCTTTCTCTCCAGGTAGTGACAAGTTATAGACTGCTGGACGTGGGCGGGGCCAGCGCTGCAGACATCCAGCCAGTTCTCCGCTCCCAATCCCTTGCACAATCATGGCTTTGTGTTGTCGTCTCACCCAGATCAGCTGCTTTCTTTCAGATGTTTACGTGGAACAAGCAGTGTTTTGTTCTCGTTAAAAAGGCAGATCGCAGGCACCAATAGTTTTCTAGAGAGCAGTTTAGAATATCCTAGATGGTTTGTTTGCTTAATATGACAGTTGGGAGTAGAAGTGCCAACTAATGCTCCTTCCTTCTAAGTGATGTCTTGAGATTGTGAGTACTCACAAAACTGGCTGTGGTGACACCTATAGGAGTGGGAAAGGACCATTGAGGCCGACACCTTACCTTGTACCCAGAGACCATACTGGTCACTGTCGTCAGCACGCCACAGTGCCCCTCAGTTCAGGGAAAGCCTCGGCAGCTTTCCCAGCCCTTTGGGAAATAACTTTAATTACATACAATCTGTCTGCCCCTCGCATCTACATAAAGCTCTTAGAAGCTAAGAGCCTGCCTACAGGAGGGCTAACGGTGCCTTGGGGACCAGGCTTAATGGCTTGTGCCTGTAATTTCAGCACTTAGGAGGCAGCAATGAGAGGGTATTGAGGAAGTGAAGGCGAGCCTGGGCTACAGAGCAAGCCCCTCCACTAAGACAAAGAAGTGAGCTTCACTTGCGTTTTACCAAGCATGAGACAGCCACAGAAGACCCTCTGCCTTTAGATTCAGTTGGGGAGTGGGGTTTTGAGTGTGTGGAGAACATGTTTAGAACCACTATATATTTGGCACTCCATAAATCATGGCTAACGAGTGATCCATTTCTGACCTTGAGCTGGGAATGGTTATGTAATGTCGGTATGCCTCAAGTTGACTTTCCAGTTGGATAGAAGGCAGAGCATCGGAGGAGTTCTGAGAAACAAAATCAAGATTAGCAGTGTGCTCTTAGCAGTCCAGAGGTCAGGTGAGGCTTGCCTGCAGGGGCTCGACTGTGTTGTCGCCGCCGCCACTGAATTCGCATCTGGCATAGAGAGCTGCTGAAGGTCAGCCTAGGCATCCTGGTCAGAACTGAGCAGGTGGGAATTCCAAATGCCAGCCTGGAGGTAGGAATTAGCAGCAATGACGTTTGTGCCCCACAGATGGCACCACTTCTGTTAGAAAGACAGCAGAAAAGGAAGTAGTCCCAATGTGGGTCTGAAGGATATATGTGCCCCGGTGAGCAGCCAAGCCAGTGGTTCCAGGACCCTCCAAGCAACAGTGCTGTTCAGGGAACTACGTGGGATGATACACCTTAACATAAACCAGAAGCCCTGACCTTGGGGGTTAGCATTTCCGCCTGGGCCCCATTTCTCGAGGATGGAACGAGATCGTTGGCTGGGACTGTTGGACTGTATCTGTGACTGACTCCACGGTACCCATGTGGAGAAAGGAGAGTCATGGGGATTCTTGGTCATTTTTTTAAGCTGTGCTAGGGATCAAGCAGGGTGCCACACATTCTAGGTAAACACCACTGAGCTGCATCCCCACCCCAGAGGAATCCGTGCCTTTTCCTAGGCCTGGGTGCTTAGCTGCTTCAGGAGCCTGCCACCCCCCCACTCCAGGGCCAGGTGCAAACTCTTCTCTCGTTGAGTCTTAAGGCCAGCGTAGGGTTGACTGTAACCAGGGCTGGCACTATGGAGTGTTCCTTCATCCTGAGTGGAAAATGAAACCTGTCCCTCCCTAAAAATTGTTTGCTTTGGGAGGGGGGGATGGGGTTCAAGACTGGGTTTCTCTGTGCAACCCTGGCTATTGTGGATCTCTCTCTCTGTAGACCAGGCTGGCCTCAAACTCAAGAGAGCTAGAATTGGCCGGGTAGTGGTGGCTTATGCCTTTAGTCCCAGCACTTGGGAGGCAGAGGCAGGCAGATCTCTGAGTTCAAGACCAGCCTGGTCTACAGAGCTAGTTCCAGGACAGTCTCCAAAGCCACAGAGAAACCCTGTCTCAAAAACACAAAAGTGCTAGGATCAAAGGGGTGTGCCTCACTGCCCAGCTCCTCCTAAGAATTTTATATTGATTGGCCTCTGTGGAAGAGGGTTGAGCCAGGAGGTAAGACAAGCCAGTAGACCAGGCTGGCCTTGAATCTAGAGATCGGCTGCAAGGCACACCGGCCAGCAGAGCTCAGGGATGTTTCAGGAAGAGAACTTACAGGGGAGTGACTTGACAGCCACTAGACTGAGATGAGATCACGGTTGGGGGGGGTCTCTGACTAGAATCATGCGGGTGAGATAGGGGGTATGGGCCAGAGGGCTCTAAAGGGGTCCACATAGCCAGGCAGTGGTGGCCCATACCTTTAACTCCAGCACTCGGGAGGCAGAGTCAGGCAGATCTGAGTTAGGGGCCAGCCTGGTCTCCAGAGTGAGTCCCAGGACAGCCAGGTCTACACAGAGAAACCCTGTCTCAGGAAACAAACAAATAAATGAAAATAAATGGGTCCACATGGCTTGCACTGAAGAGCGAGCTGGACTGTGCAGCTGAACCTGGGAAATGGAGAAAAAACACTCGGTGGCTGATGAGGGAAAGGATACAGCCGCTGCTGGAACCAATGTGGAGGGCCACCAGAGCCCACATTGTCCTGTAAATGATCGGGGGGCGGAGAAATGAACTGCCAGGAGCAGTCACATGCCCCCCCCCATCTGTAAGAGTCCACCTCAGGCCCTGAGCTGCCTGAAGGGCGGGGGGACATGGACCTGGAGGCCCAGTGTCCTCCAGCCTTGGACAGTCACTATCCTACTCTTGCATCCAGAATTCACCAGCAGAAAGCTCTGCATGCAGCCAGGGCCACACCCTTAAAAGCAATTAGCGACTGTCTCTTGTTACTATGGCACTTGTGGAGAGAGGTTCTGTCCATCCTGCACTTTGTACAGCCCCCCCCTCCGCCCCCCTGCCTTCTACATATTTTCAAGGAGCTGTGGTTCCCAGTGATGGTTGGCCTTTCTGGGTAAGTGTACTGCAGAGTGTCTGCCTTCACCGACAACTCAGCCGTCTTGACCAGGTGCTAACAGATTAGAATAATCAGAAGACAAGCTCGGTGCACGGAGGTGCTTTCCTGTTTGGGTGCAGGCTAGAGTAGGTGCCTGGAAGTTACCTGCTGGGTCTGAGACTGACTCTGCCTGGGCAGACTTCTGTGACCAGATGTGGAAGGATCCCCCAGTGAGCTGAGCCTGAGGTCCCAGAAACTGTTGATACAGAAGTCTCCGGACACCTGCTTCTGCTCACCACATGGAACACCAATTCCCGAGCATCCTTGTGGAAGCTTGAGTTCTGCCCTTAAGAGGTAGGAGAGCTTGGGGTGCAGCTTAGTTGGCAGAGTGCTTGCCTCCCATGCGTCAAACCCTGGGTTCCATCCCCAGCACCATAGAACTCAGATGTGGCAGTACACATTTACAATCCTGGTACTGCGGCGGTGGAGACAGAAGGATCAGAAGTTCAAGGTCATCTTTTGCTGTATGATGAGTTTGAAGCCAGCCTGAGATACATAACACCCTATCTCAAAAAAAAAAAAAAAAACAACAAAAAAAAAACCTCATCCATGCATGTGGATCTTTAAAGCATGGTTGTAGGGTTTGATGGGCTCGAAAGGTAGCACCTCAGGCAGGCCCTTGCCCAACATGACTAGGGTTATACCCTGACTTTGACCCCAAATCCAAGAAACAAGATGGCTACAAGGGAAGACACAGGTGGAAAGAGCCAGATGCCCCATGACTTCATCTCTGCAGATGGCAAACGAGAGGATGACTGACCCCGGGGGTACAGGGACTCACGGGTCAGGATTTCCACCCTTGTGTACACACACATAAACACACACACACACACACACACATGTGTGCGCACGCACACACGCACTGACAGAGAGCCCAGGTAATCACTGACCTTGAGGCTGAGTGCTCTCCACACTGACCTTGGCACCTCCCTAAGCTTCTCTCAGATTTCTGTACTTTACAGCTAATAATTGCATGATCTCATCAAATTGCCCCACAGATGAGGCCTTTTGTCCAAAGTGACGTAACCAGTGCCTGGTGGGGTCAGATCTAACTCTATGACCGGTGGTGGGGTCAGATCTAACTCCGCCCCTGTGGCCCTGCAGTTATCACCTTCCTGTACCCAGCTGGAACACAGCAAGGGCTGTCCTTACACAAGTCTTCAAACCTGGCTTATAATGATAGTTTAAAAAAAGTTCTGAGGGGCCAGCAGGCTAGGTAGATAAAGGTGAGTTCAGTCCCCAGAATACCCAGCCTGCACTGCACCTACGCATATACACAAACACGTCAAGGAAGCAAATGTTTAAAAAAAAATAGTGCTGAATTAATGATTCCCATAGTGTACCTCAGAACACCTGTTTGTCCTGTGGACCCCCATGGAGAGTGAGTTCAATTTTCTAGAGAGAAAGGCTGGCTCTGCCTCTCTTCTGCCAACTGGCCTTGGAGGTATCCTACTTGTAAAAGAACCCTCCTATGCCCGAAGTGGAAGCTGACAAGTTGGTGGCTTGCAGCCAGCAACAGTTCTCAGGCATGCTGCCGGCCCATGCTGTGTCTTAAATGATTGAATTAGCTGACATTTCCACGGAAGAATCTGATTTTAGGCTTGACAAACGGTTTGTTTTTGGCTTGCAGCCCCACCCACAGTCAGCTCCTGGTGGCTGCTGCCCCCTGGAGGCAGAACGCATGCACCACAGCTCCCTCCTCCAGGTGTACTTTAAGGGCCGCACATGTCCTCACCTGAAGGAGGCCCCTGGGCTCGCTGGCCTCAGTCTATCCTAATCAAAGAGCTCCAGAGTTAGTGGGAGACCCTGTCTCGAAACTCAACACCAAAGGCTGACCTCTGCCCTACACACACACACACACACACACACACACACACACACGCAGAGAGAGAGAGAGAGAGAGAGAGAGAGAGAGAGAGAGAGAGAGAGA